ACAAATCCATGTTATGCTCTGATTTAGACACGTTAGCAATCGTGTGGGTCTGTTTTATTGTGTGTTATGTCCCCTGGTTTCTCTACTGTGTGGATCCCATAATGCTCCTCTCTCCCGAGAGTGGCACCTAATCAACTCTATTCTGATGCCACAGTGAGAGACTGATTCTCGCGTCTGATCCTGACAAACACACGCAGTATGATGAAGCTGGAGCTCGCATGGAGCACACCTTCCTGCGTCTGTGTGTCATCAGTACATGTATTCATGTTCAGAGACACTCAGTGCCGAAAAGCCAAGGATAATTGCATATTATTATTCATTTTCGAGGTGTTTAGGAAGTCAAGCATCGGTATTGTTATTGCTCATAGTAATCTGAACAAGTTTGAAACATCAGCACATCACAGAGCCGCGTTTCACACCAGACAGGAAGAAAACACCTAGAAACCAGCGAAAAAAAATCTGGCTGTTGTTATTGTTCATGGAGAGACTTCAGCCCCAAACCTACTGCAGATCATATGTGTGTGTGTGTGTGTGTGTGTGTAGATAAACAGCACACTAGAACCTCAAACCCAATGAGACGAGCAGAAACACACATCTACACCACAGGAGCAACGTTTGCACGCGATTGCATCAGAGACAATGATCAGACAAAACACAACCCCACAACAAAACCGAGTCCAAAACAACGATAAAAGAGAGAAAAACCGGTTCGGCAGACAGCTTCTGAAGAGGAGAGACTGAATCTGGAAAACATTGGGAAAGAACTGACAGTCACAGATGGCACAGGAACGGCACACAAAACACAGTTCCGTGCGTTTACAGAAGCGAGGAGGACGACTGGAGAGAGACTGGCTTTCTCAAATCCCTGTCCAGGAATCAAACGACACACGGCAGATAAAGGCAGAGCGACGCCGTCAGCGTGATCACACTGCCACCTGCTGGACACTCTGCAGAGTACACACTTACACTGTTTGAAGGAGTTATAAACCCAGGCTGCTCTTTTACATACAGTGACCATACGACTAAGACTGCTACTTATCTATAGTCCATATGGATCATGTGCTAGATCACGTTCTGGTCATTATTATTTGATAATCAGCTAAACATCTGTTGTTGTGTTGATTGATTGATTTATTTTATGTAGCTCAGTAGAGCAAGCCACTAGCAACACCAAGGTTATGGGTTTGATTCCCAGAAAACGCAAGCACTGATAACATGTGTACTGTATAGCCCTGCATTCCTTACTGACAGTCTGTCTCTAACAGTAATCACATCAGCTGGGGTTGAATACTTGATTCATTTGATGTCAGCTACAAATGAAAAGCTTTTCAGTTTTCATCTCAGTGTTGAATGTTGTTCTGTGTTTTTAGTCACGTGTAAACAGTTCATTTCTGAAAGTAAAGCTGGTCTGGATCGTCCTGACATATGAAAGCACATCAGCACACAGGAACTGTGTGTGTGTGTGTGTGTGTGTGTGTGTGTGTGTGTGTGTGTGTGTGTGTTCAGTG